TGAACTTAGACTCAAAAATCGCTTGATTCGGAGTCCGGATGAAAAAGATATGGCTAACGGAAGAAAAAGGGGCAAAACGATCAAAAAAATGGCAACCAAGAACATCTAACCGATTAGGAAGGCTCCTAACCGGTTAGGAAGCCAAAAATCTCGCCAAAAACACTGCCTATGCACATGTAACTGGTTAGGAAACCCCTCGTAACCGTTTACATGTGAAGGAGGCAGAATGGGCAGCCCAAAAACCTGGCAGCAGGGGTTTTCTCGGGAAAAATGGCAATTTGAGGGCTAAGATGACATTTTCTGGAAAAACTCAAAGAAGAAACCCCCCTCAAAATCGAGTTTTCTACATGACTTGGAAGAAAAATAGAAAAATACGCAATGTGAAATGCCCAAAACGCCCTCCCAAGAAAACTGGTCCAGAGGGTCCAAAAAGCTGCTAAATTTAAAAACTGAGAGCTGAACTTCGGATGCGATTTCCGATGCCAAGATGGCATTTTCTGGAAAAACACAAAAAAGAAACCCCCCCTAAAATAATATTTTCTATTCAATCATGTGAAGAACGGAATTTATTTCCCAAAGAAAATTCCCAAAATACCCTTAGGTCAGAAAATGCAACAAAAGTGTAAAATGAGTCTGTAGGAGGCTCATTTCACCAAAGAAGAAGTTTTGCCCGGAAACGACCATGCACGCAAACGTAACTTACCTATTAAGATGTGTTACAATGATCCATGGCCCAAAAATATGGCCGATGCAAAATATGACCCCTCAACGGCCAAAATGCCAAAAATGAAGTTTGGAAAGAAAACTTAGAATTCAAAACTATGAAATGGTTTCAAAATGCCGCTTGGCCCTTGGCCACACTTCATACATGGTGAATGAATGCTAATGGAAGAATCAAAATGGAGTTCCCACACCCAATACAAACATGGTGAATCAAAAACTCAATATTTTACAATACTTTCATAATATTCCATGAAGTCAAAATTTACATAGGATACAATTTACATGTCATTGGCCTCCGGCCTCATCTCATACATGTCAAATACATCGTAAAGAGTGTACTCATATACACATTACATATAAGGGATCAAATGTACACATGTTGACTTATAAGACTACAATTGGCATTCCAAGCCAACCTTCACAAAAGTGGAAGTCTCCAAGTCCGCAAACCATCCAAACATAATGAAGACCTCAACTTTGATTCTTGCACCTGAAATATGCCCCAGCATCGTAGGGGTGAGTAACATAAAGCTACTCGTAGGAAATGAGCATGCATCGACCTACGTTTTACAAGTTCGCATGATTTAATTATAGTGGTTCATTCCGCCTAACGTCTATGCCAAAGGTGAGACTCAAGGAGCATCCTAACTACCTAAGACCATTTCTAGCATTAATCACCTTATTCATGCAATTTTAGCAACATAGGGTCATGCTTACACAAAGCAATAACATAGGAGCATGCTTACACAAAGCAACAACATAGAGATTCTCAAGGTTATCAACTTGAAGTCTAAAATGCAACATCAACTAAATATAACAATTTAGTATAATTAGAATATCTAATACCACACATTAAGACATAGATTCTCTAGGTTATCAACTAGAAATCTAAAAATGTGCAATCAACTAAATATATCAATTTAGTATGGATGTACTTAACAACATCAAAATCGCCAATAGCCAAAACCACAAGTCAACAAGGTAAACATGATTGTCAACTTGGAATGGAATGCGAAAACAAATAGTGGAAGACTTGGACATCACGCTCGAAATTCTTCCGAGACCTCAATGATTATTTCGGGCACTAACCCGCAGGGAAGACCACCCTAAGTGCGCACTATCTCAATGACTTAGAGGACTCACGTCCCTGTACTAAAGCCAAACCCTAGCCATCTCAACTCAACAATGTTCCAAGATTCCAAAATAAGTCAAATAAGTTCATAACTTATACATATTACTACTACATAGTAACAAGTTAGCAATATAACTTTCAATTGTGCATAATAAGTATTTCATATCCATAATGCTACGAAATCACAAGCCAACAATATATTCATATTAGAAACATACTCTCATGAATATAAACTTAACAACAATGCTCTTCAATGCATATAACACAATCTAGTGAATACATCATAAGCCTAAATCCATGCTCTTAAAATAAAAATAACTTCTAAAACATGATTAGATCCATGGATAAACAAGATAGAATTTAATTACATCAAAATAATTAAACTCTCTAGATTTCAAATCATTTCCAATTGGCCCCAATTTAATATATGTTAATAGACATATCATGGTCATTACATATATTCACACACAAGCTTAATTAGGCCCATGAAACCTCAAAAAAATATATTTTAATTAATTCCTTTAATTAAAGTTTCTAGATTTCCAAACTCAACCAAATGCTCTCAAATTAAAGTATGTTAACAAACATGCCAAAACTCAATTTAGAAGCATAATACAACTTAATTTCATACAAGCTATGACCATGAACTTTAATCTTTCACAAAAGATAATTATTAATGAAAAAGAGCAATTCTTATTTAATTAAATTTCAATTTAATATATGTTAACCAACATATTAAAACAAGAGTTTCTACCATGCCACAATTCAAAACCAAGTTTCTCATCATCATGAAAATTAAATCTTATACAAAGAATTAAATATTTCAAATTTCCAAAATTTGATACAAGGCATGCATATAGGTTGTATAAACATGGAAAACACACAATACAACACATATAAAATCCTAAAACATTCCCTACCTCCATTTGAGATAAAATCTCAAATCCCCACCAAAATAAATCGGCTCCGAATCCGACGAAACTCCTAGGTTTTGTCGGGGACAACACCATGAACATGAATCCTAAGGAAGCCCCATCAAAAACACAACTTGACTTCAAACCCGAACTCAAGAAATGGCTAAAACGAGATTTCAATCGGTTGAAATCGAAGGCCTCGCCGAGGGGAACAATAAACACAAAAGCATCACCACTTTTTAATGAAGGGAAGAAGTCCAAAAGAGGAGAGAGAAGATGGCAGCCATGGATGGAGCTTGGACCGGCCATGAGAGAGGAGAAAGAGAGAAAAATCTGATTTTTCTTTCTAAGACCTCCTATTTATAGAAAAACTCAAAAAGTGCCCCGAACGGGCTCCGCCGGGTCCGGAAAAGTGGATTCGCGCAGACGCTCTCAAATGAAAAAACTCCGTGAACAAAAAAGATTTCAAATGAGAAAATATGAATAATAAAAGAAACGGCGTCAAAAACCGAGTCCCGAGCAGAGAGTTATGCCTAAAACAAGTTTGGCACAAACCGGAGCCAAAAACCCTAAAACTGGAAAACATCGTCCAGGAGGAAATTCTAAGAGTCCACAACTCGATGAAATGTGAAAATAAATCCCATACGAGGATCCAGGCTCAAAACAAGGTATTGAGCAATAACTTTCATTAATTGCACAGTGGTCCCTCCAAAAAGTGAAAACTGCGAAACTGCCCCAGAATGGAAATATCTTCCAAAAGATATTTTCTTAGATACCCCTGAAATAAAATATTTTCAAAAGATATTTATGAATAACATCTCAAGAAAAGAAAAAATTTCCAAAGAACTTTACATTTATGCCCCTATGGACACCGGGAGCAACCAGAGTACTTTCTCACGAAAGTAAAGATACATATCTCATAGAAATCATTGAGAATGAAGATACGCGAAGTCGGAAACCAACTCCGAACACAAGAAGTGTGGTTACGCAAACAGAGTGACAAACGAGGAAAAGACGAAATAGAGAAAAAGACAAAATAGGGAAAAGACAAAAAGTGAATAGTGTCGAAAAATGAAAAGTGCAGAACTGACTCGGTCCTCAAAGGAAGTTGTCAATCTACAGAAAAGAGTCTCGAAAATCACTCCAGAGCACTCGAGACGACACTAATCGACAAGAAACCAAACTTAGAAGGGAAAAGATAACGGAAAAAATTTATCCGAAAAATCCGAGTCATTACACAAGCTACCACTCATAACTTAGCGTGTGTGGGCGGGTGTCATTTACTGACAGCTACGGGGATGGTCAATAGTTGTTAAAGATAATAATTTTTCGAACCTAACTTTTTAAGTGTGTAATTTTTAATGATTTTTGGTAGAGAATTAATTTTTAAATATATCATTATATGGTGAGTCCACAAATTTTAATTGTTTTATAACTTTAAGGTAAAGATGATATATCAGGAATATTAAAAAAATAGTACATTGAATTTTGTATTTGGACAATTATTTTGTGACAGCAAAAAATAAAAAAAGTGAACATTTTTATGGGACGGAAGGATTAGTATTAAGTTAAAATTTGAAAAATTTATAAAATAATTATAATATAATATTTCTTATAATATTAGTCTTAAAATCAATACTGATAAAAATGTAATCTAAAAATGAGAAAAATGCATCCTGAATAAATAAAGATAAAAAAATTACATGACAAATTAAAAATATATATATAGAGAAGAAGAAACAATAACTTAATTGTATAAAAGAGAAGTGGTAACTGGTAACACTACAACAAAGAAGGCTTTTGGTAACGAAATGAATTGTCGCTAAAGCTTAAGTTTTTGTCGCTATATGTGTTTAGGGACGAAATAAGTCGTCCCTACGTAGCCGTCGCTATTGGTCTATAATGACAACTTGTAGTTTCGTCGCTAAATCTTAAGCTTTTAGTGACAAAACCTATTTTGTCACTGTTCGGTAAGCTTTAGTGACGATGGTAATCGTCACCTTTACACACCAATTGTGATGATCAGCTTTCATTGCTAAAGCCTTTTGGTCACAAAAATGTATAATATTTGCATCATCTAATTTAGTCACTAAATGGCTTTCTAAGAATTAAATTTGCTACCATTCAATTAAATTTCTACACTAAATTCTATTCAATTCGTAAACAATAAAAATTGACACAAGTTTAAATAAAACATCAAATTTCATTACAAAATTACATTTTACATCATTCAATACAAAATTACATTTTACATCATTCAATTTCATTACAAAATAAAACTAACTCTCCAATTGTGTAACACAATTCAAACTAACAAGTAAAAAGCAAACTCTCAATCTTTCATACTAGTCTTCTAGAATCTTGTAATTCTTCAAGTGATTTTTGACTTTATGTACTTGCCCTTGAATACAGAAATTTCCAAGTAAGAGCCATCCTAGTTAATACCTGCAATAAAAGCAGAAAAAAGATTTTTTATAAATGGAACAATGGGGTCTATGAAAGTTAAACTAGAAATTTAAATAATACTATTCTCCTAAGAAGTAAAACTTGATTAAAATATAACAAATATAACTACATTTTGAATAGAAGTACTAATATAAAAGGAAAAAACGGTAGTTACATACACCATAACCTATGCTACCACTTCCAAGGCCAAAATAATGTTTCTTGAGGCCTTCAAGATGTGCATCAAAGCGTTCTTCGTCCACCCTTGAAAAAAAGAAGAAAAAAAAGAAGTAAATACAATAAAATTAAGTAAACTAAGCCAAACTATTTAGAAGTGTAAGCAATGCCAATCTATCTTCTCATAATGTGTATCAATCATCACAAACAATATGTGACATCCACAAACTAATATGTAAGGCCACATAACATATCATACTATAATAATACTAATAATAATAAATTATTCCAAAAATCAAAAGCTTATAAACTATTGTATCAGATAAAAAAAGATTGAAGTGGCCTAAGTCCTAGAGTCTTTATTGTAGTCTTTATTGTAGTGAACTATCGACCAATAACAAAAAAAACATCTAAGCCACACAAAAAGTGGAAAGGGAAAGAATCCATTGATTATCCTAGTACAAATTCTTGTTTGGAAGTGCATAGGAGTTACTGACAGATGATGCAATTTGACGTTGCTTGCTGTAAAAAAACTAATATTCTATATAATTTCATCAAACAAATCAACATATATGACATACCCACCTTCTTACCACTTAGTTTTTATAAGAACATCCAATCATGCAAAGAATAAAACTTCTGCATTGAAAGTTTTATATATAGGAAGCAGGGTGTAGAGGACAAGAAAGAATAATAAGTTCAGTGTTTTCTCTAGATTCAATTACCATTAACTACCACAATTCATTATTTAATAAGAATAACAATCTTACCATACTTCCAATGATAGGATCCCTTACAAGTGTTGCCTTCAATTTGCTGGCATATAATATTTACCAAATTGGTGGGAAGCATCATTCATATGACTTCTTCAGAAATTCTGAGTGTTCAAATTACATGTATAGATTTCCATTAATACATCACAAAAGGCATAAAAACAAAACAAACAAACAAACAACAATAATAATATTTTAATGTTATACCTAGTGATCACCTCTTCAACTTAATTCTTCAGCCGATTTGCTGAAGATTGAAATAAATCTCCTTGTTTTCCTAACTCATATGCTTCAACCTTTCTCTCATCCTCCTCCTACGCTCGCCATTCTTAACCTAAAGAAGATTAGTCCTAGTTTTAAACAGATAGATTAAAAAAAATACTATCAGAATCGCACATATACAAAATATATATGAATGGAAAATATTTACAGATTCACATATTATGGGAAAGATTTACAGATTACATATATAACTAGGAATCACACATAAAGTTAGGGCTTTCAGCGGTAGCCGGAATGGAGGCTAGGGTTTTGAAATTGAAGGACCGATCTTGAGGACGTTTTCAAGCAGAGTCACTAAACTGGTAACAAAATTGAAGACCCCATCTTGGGATTGGGTGTGGAGGTTTGGCGATCTTGGACTGGGTACCGAGCAGGTGATCAATATGGTTATGGCGTGAAGAATGGTTGAGATGAAGACATTGAAGTGTGTAGTGAGGACAATGTTGGGTTTTTGGGAAGGTGATGGTTAGGGATTTTTAGGAGAAGAGAATGAGATGAAGCTGCGAAATTGCCATGGTCTTTTTGGAAAAACTTGAGCTTCCCTCTTCTCTCTCTAATCTCTATCTTCTGCTAATTTTGTGCGTAGAAGAATCGTGCGAGAGAGAAGTGCGAAGGGAAAAACTGTGCGTAAGCGTCGGGGTAGTGCAAAGGTCTAATACAACGTCGTTTGGTTTGACTGAAATAGCCAAATTATACGAGGTCGTTTCATCAATGAATGAAAATATCTTTTGTTTGACACTAAAACGCACAGTACTGCGCTAGAAACATCAAGGAAATAACCCATCCACGACTTTTGACAAGGGCGGGAAGGCTGCCAATTTTCCCGCTGACCTTTCAGTGACAAAATAAAATTTTCGTCCCTAAAAATACTACTATTAGGGACTAAATGAGCTTTGTCACTAAAATTTTGTCACAAAAGGCTCGATTTGATGCAGTGTAAAGAGGGGGCATTAAAAAAAAAAAAAAAAACCAATGTTATAGAATTATTTTTCCTTCACCAATTATTTCAATTTGAATATTCTAAAATAGAAAAGTATCATTTTAGTTAAACAAAATAGAAAAGTATTTTAACGTCTCATACAAGTTGTTATGAATTTATCACTTCACACGTGAAGAGTAAGAATATTAGTACATATGCTATTATTGTTTTTTTTTGGTAAAAATATGCTATTATTGTTGTTGTGACATTTTTATCAATTTTTAATTGACCAAGTGAAAACTCAATTATTCATTTCAAGATATCTTTACTATTTTAACATTTCTTACATATTTATAAGCAAGGCGGCGCCAGTGATCAAGCCTTTAGTTGACTAATGGCTAGTGTATAACTATTTTATTTTATTATTATTATTATTGTTGTTGTGACATTTTTATCAATTTTTAATTGACCAAGTGAAAACTCAATTATTCATTTCAAGTTATCTTTACTATTTTAACATTTCTTACATATTTATAAGCAAGGAGATGCCGGTGATCACTTTTTACTTTAGAAGGTAAAGATTAAGGAGGTACCATTTTGCTATAAAGTAGGGATGCCAATTTTTGTTCGTGAGTTATAATCGTGTCGTGTCAATTTAAGGGAATTTTACTAAACAATTTAACTCGAACACAACTCGTTTAATAATCGTATCAAGAACGCTCAACACTAACCCGACCTGTTTAATAAACGTATTACATGTGTAACTCGTTTAATGACCTGCTTAATAAAATGAAATATTTATTTTGGAATTTAAATAAAAATTTATTTATGACTCAGATAATTAAACGGATATAAACGAGTTACATGTGTTATATCTCTTAACCCAAACACGATACGAAATTAATCGTGTCAAACTATTTACGATCTAAACTAATTTAATATTAATTTAAATTCGTTTAACTTGAGTCGTATTGACACTGTGGAATTTTGCCAATAATGACTATTCTACGACTTGCAATCACTGACTTTTTGTTAAACAACTTTCCTATACATTTACAATCATTTATCATACCACAAAAAAGTTTTGGGAGAAAAGTTTTCTAATGTGCTCTAATGTCTCCCAACACTTCTATTGATTGCGAAAGGCCGCGGTGCAAACTCTAAGGGGATTATAATACATCATCACTCGTAATGGGCTTCATGAGAGTTATTTATTTATTTTATCTTTATAAATTAGAGAAAAGTGATTTTTTTTTTTTTTTTTTAAATATTATTGACAAGAAACTCATATATATCATACTCACACATCCCACTTTACTCATTTAGAGACTCAAATTTTTACTATCTATTTTGAAAAATAAAAAATATACCACTAAATTACAAAGTTCTTGACGAAAAAAAAAAAAATTGAATATTCAAAATTAAATACTTTATCAATTAAGTCAGTGAATAATTCTTTAAGAGTTGTGAACTAAATTACATAAAGCTGAAACGTGAAAGCAAGAGTGAGAGCGAGAACGTAAGAGCGATAGAATTAAATTATAAATAATAAGAATTTGACTTAAAATTTGCGCGAAACATAAAAACAAAAACACATTCAGAACGGAACACATAAGAACGATATCCGTTAAAAAATGATTGGCTGTCTTAGGATGTGAATGCATTAACCCAGCAAATATTTTCCTCTTGGCCCCACATGCATTAATTGCTATCATTTTGACATATTAACCTGACTCAGTCTCACATAAAACACTTTATACAGTATTTCCAAAAAGGCACCTTATAGGACTCAATCTTGTCCAATATAAGATGCCTTCTCCTTCTTTCTTCTTTAATTTTTATTAATATTTTTTTTTATGTGTTCACCTGTAATGAATTTTTTTATTTTTACGTCTCTTTTTGGAAATGGACAAATTAAAAGATAATAAAATGAGGTTCACAATATGAAAAATGTTTCACAGTAGCTCAACACAACAATCCAAGAGAATTTAGTGGGAGTACGAGTCATTATGTCGGGGCAATAACAAAATTAAAAAGAGTTCACACTACAACAAGAAAATGGATAGTGGGAAACACTTTGTTCTAATTCATGGCTCCTGCCATGGTGCATGGTGCTGGTACAAGCTTGTCACCCTGCTCAAATCCGTCGGTCACTGGGTTACTGCTTTGGACCTCGGCGCGAGCGGGGTGGATCCGAGGCGGCTCGACCAACTCGCCACAATATCTGACTGCGTGCAACCATTGATGGACTTCATGGCCTCTCTGCCTCATGGTGAGAGGGTTGTCTTAGTTGGGCACAGTTACGGTGGCTTTTCCATTGCTCTAGCCATGGAGATCTCCGAGAAGATCTCTATTGCAGTTTTCGTCAAAGCCTTCATGCCGAATGATAGAGATCCATTGGTGACTTATTTTCTAGAAGTAAGTATCCCTAGTTGAATCGAAGTCTTGAATTTGTTCCAGGTTTATTGTTAAACTAAAATTTCTTTGATTTCAAATTCATTGTATCTGCAAAATTAAAGGATTATTGATAGAGATTTTGTGAGATATTTAGATTTGTGAAAAATTACAATGACACCCTCTTAGGTATGTCATATTAAGTGAAGTCATTTTTTAATAATAATATCCTTATCAGAATTATAATCCAAACAAGCCCTTAAATAGTTCAAAAGAAGACATTGCCCGGTAATATTTAAATCACATTTAAGACAGTAGAAAAGTCATATTTCCTCTTCAATTAACACCCACCACAAAAATGACGTCACATGCCCCTAGATCCCACCAATTTTAGTAGGTGTAATATATATATATCACAAATGCCCTAACAAAATATATGAAAAATGATTCCAAGAATATATTGAGTTGCTAGATCATGTTTGGGATTTTTATTAAAACACTTGGAAGTGTTTTTATTTTCAAATTTTGCTTTTAAACGGGTTTGGTAAAAAAAAAAAAAAAAAAAAAAGAAAGTACTTTTAAATATTAAAATTTTTAGCTAGATCAGTAAAGCTACGGAATGAAATTAAAATTTTTAACTTTTAAAACAATATTATCCCTCTATTATACCATTCTTTATAAAACCATGTATACTCTTATATGTTATCTGGTAGCACTGCATTGAGGAGCATTATTGTAAAATTAACAATAGACATGCTTAAGTATTTTAATTGTAAAAAGTAGGTGTAATGTATCATAAATGCTTAAGTACATTATTATGTGTCTTTTTTTTTGGACAAATAAATAAAAATAAATTGATAACTGAAATACTTACCAAACTTTTTTCGTGCAAAGCTTCAATTGTACAAAGCTTCTATCTTTTTTGTATTATTTCTCTTGTGTTTCACATGTTGTATTTGACATGTACATATACAGCAAATGCATCTCCAACGGTTATTATTTTTGGCACAAAACTAACTGTTTGGTTGTACTATGCCTTTTTGCATCAAATGCTTAATGAGGGATAGATTAGTCCAATTAATTGAGTTTTAAAGTTAAAAAGGTAAATTAACAAGTCAAAATGCAAGTTAGTCAATTCCCATGTGTCAGATGTTGCAGGTGGCCATTGGGAGGGAGTCTTTGTCAAGTTTATCAAACCTCAGGATTGTTATTACTAAAAATGAAAACACTCGACTTGTATATGAGAGTCAATATTATAAACCACAGGAGTGTCATTGTAATTTAATCACAGGGAGTGTTATTGTAATTTATTCTTAGATTTAGGTTGGCGAATTTAATTGTTAAAACTTGTTTTATTGAGTTGTAATATTTTTTGTTTATTTTGAGTCTCAATTTTTTCAGTTGAATGACAAGTGCCTAGATACCATGAAATGGGGTGAAACATCACTTAGACTAGGTCTATGAGTGAGCAGAATGTATGTTTGAGGTTTTGTTGGCTTAGGACTTGGGATATTTTTAATCAAGAAATTTAAATGCAGTGAAGTCTGACTGGTTACACTTTTGACTACTGGTCCAATTAGTCCCGATTGCAACTTATCGTGGAGTCCGGCCGGTCGCAATTATGGCCACTGGTCACACTTATCGTGATACTTACGGAATTTATGCTTTTTTTGTAAGATTTTATTCCGTTTAGCACCAAACTTCTTTACACGTCATATTACATTTTTTTATAAAGTACTCTCTTAGGTATTTAAACCTTTATAATCTCCAACCTTTGCAAGACTTTGGAAAGAACACCAAGAGATTTATTTTTGTGAGATATAAGTTTTTGTGTTGACAAATTTCGGTGTCAAAACTTATTGTTAGAGTTGTAATTTTAGATTTATTTTGTGTCTTACCGTCGAAGTTGATCTTCAAGTGTCTCATACAATTAGATTGGATGAAGTATCACTTAGAATAGGACTTAGGAAAAATGTGATTTTAATTGAAAAATTCCAAGTCTAAAAAGTCCATACGGTTGCACTTTAGTTCCAACCGATTGTACTTCAATAGAAAGGGTTGCAAAGATTTTTTCATAGGCCAAGTGCAACCGGTCGCACTTTACTTCAACTAGTCGCACTTGTCAAAATCCCCGCTCTTTGAAAATTGGCTAAGTACAACCGGTCGCACTTAGGTACAACTGGTCGCACTTAAATGATAGGTGCTGGATTTCAAATTTTGGAAACTTTAAGTTTCCTTTTTGCATCAAAACTCTTAGAGAGATCCTTATACAATTTTAACACTTCTTTCCATACAATATGAGGAATTTCTAGGCTATAA